CCATATCATCTTCACTTGGATATAAGCTAAAGGGGTTGTGGGACTTTGATCATAGAGCTCTTGCTGAATAGCCAATGAATGATGTGCTAGACACAAGAAAGGGGAAAATCAGTCACACCTGCATCCCCCACTCGTATCTCTGAGTGGTAGATCTTTGAATTCCAGTCCTTCAGTGGTTGGACTGTTGAGATAGTACAATGGATAAAGGTGTTTGCCACCAAGCTTAAGAATCTGAGTTCAAAACCCAGGACCTATTATCATGGAAGAAGATGACTGATCCTTGCAAGTCATCCTCTGATCTCCAGTCACGCACTGTGGCAAACACATGCATGTATATCCACCCGTATTCACACAGTAAAAAAAAAAATGTAATATTTAAAAAAGTGAGTGCTGGCTGTATTATTTGCTATCCATAAACACAAAGGTGGACACCAGATACCGGTAGATCAAGGACTCAAGTGTGACCTTATAATCTCTCTTGTCATCTCTGTTACCATCGCTCTCATGCGTGGGAGACATTGCAGCTAGTAGGTTCCAAAGTTACATCTCACAAATGCAAACATTTCTACGTTTTTCCTAATGCATAATCTATTACATTTGGAGATTTATACATTATTTTGAGAGATTAAGAACTTATCTGTAAGTAAGTCACACAAATTAACAAAGGATCTCATTTCCAGAGCTCTTAAGTTCTTCCGAATCTGTAGATCAGAGTACTAAAAGTATTATTTTAAAATAAATACTATTTGTAGATGCCCACCTATATTTTGAGTAAGACCCAGACTTCTACCAAAAGCTGATGAAGACCCAGATTTGAGCTGCTGTTTTTCCTCAACAGATACTTGCATAACTGTCACCTCTCATCTGAACATTTATCAGGAAGGGAGCCAATGATGAAAATATGGCACATGTGTAGAAACCTTCAACTGCCTTGCTTAGGATAAACTTCTGCAGAATCCATCACCTGACATAATTAATTATATATATATATATATATATATATATATATATATATATATATATGGATGCATTGTGTATTATACATGTATGGATGTATTATCCAGGTCACTGGAAACTATCTAGAAAGCTTACCATATTTATTCTAAGCATGATGTTTCACTACATAATATATTTGGCTCCCTTGTTTTTTGTGCAGGTTGCAAAAGGCTGAGCCTCACTGAGGTGGCTTTGTCTTGATCTACCGCAGCACCCATTTTGAATATCCTTATGAAAATATCAATGGACTGGGTCAAATCTGCATCTATTATTGTGGTCTAGAGAAGGACTTATGTAGAAAAACGGCTCCTTCTGAAGTGTTCCTGCCCTTAGCTGTCATGAAAATTTTCCATTTAAGGATGAAATGGGGTACCACAGAAATATATTGCACAAATAGACAAAAGTAGTTGCAATTATAGATACTGGGTTTTGCAATTATGAAAGAAATAGGGGCCCCATGCCTGCTAACCAAACATCCACAAGCCGGAGCTCTGAGCAGCAAATGCATATTGGATCTGACTCAGTTAAAAAAAAAAGAAAAGGAAAAAGAAAAGAAAGGAAAATTTGAAAATCTGTCTGATCATTGGCTGGAATATCACACCCTTATCATTTCCTTAGTCCCTTTGCACTTATTTTTTAATCTTCTTGGTGCCTTCTGAATTAAATAGATGTTTTCCTATTATGCAACTTGTAATATATAAAATTTGTACAGCTGTGTCATGACCATACCGTTGTTTATAGCTTGCATCTCTCCCTGTTATTTTGGCTTGTTCTTCCCCTTGTTGGTCTAGGCCTAAATCCAACAGGGCCCTGGGGCCCCAGACATCTGTGTGTGGTCCTTCTATGAAGTCTGCACCATGGCTTCAGGCTGGCTGCCTCCAGCCTCCTATCCCTTCCTCTGTCTTTCTCCTAATTTACTTTGTTCTCTGCCTTCAAGTATCTTATCCTTCACACAATAGCTGCAATTCCCTCGACTCATTTTCTTACACTTCTCTTTGGACCTACTTGATTCTGCTTTCTCTTCTCTTGAGCCTCAGAGCCTCTTGGTGGGTATTATTGGGGAAAATGTGGCATTGTATGAAGTTATGAAACTTAAAATATACTGTATGGAAACTCCGAGCTCTTCCACAGCTTGTCGATCCAGCTACCTCTTACCTGGTTACCTTACAAACTCTGGAAAGGCCTGTCATGCCCTTTAAGTTGTGAGCTATACAACTCTCTAATCCCAACACAGACTAGGTACATATAAATAATTTACTGAATCAATGAATAAGTGCATTATTAACCAACAAGATGGATTTATTCATGGAGGAATAAAACTTAGGACCTGTATATAGCCCCTTGCATTTCATGGAACACCTGGAATCTTTATCTTTGTTTCTTTATACTCCAAAACAACCAGTGTACTTACTTTAAATATGTTCATAAAAAGATAAATCACGGCATCTCACTTGAGATGAAGTAGAATTTAATGCTTGGAGGGAATCTGTATTAGTTACTATTGCTATGATAAAACACCATGACCAAGGTAGCTTAGAGAAGAAAGGGTTTATTTGAGGATTGTAGTTTTAAGGGATAAGACTCCATAACCAACTAGGTGAGGAGCATGGTAACAGACAGGCAGGCATGGTTCTGGAGCAGCAGCTGGCAGCTCACATCTCCATCCATGAACAGAGAGAAGAGAGGGTGGCTTGAAATGGCTGAGTCTTCTGAAACCTCAGAGCCCAACCCCAGTGACATACTTACTTCAGCAAGGCCACACCTCCCAATGCTTCCACCACCCCTGCATGTACCCAAATGGTCACCAACTTTGGACCAACCAAGTGTTTAAATGCCTGAGGCATATGAGGGACATCTCAATTAAACTACCACACAGTCCTTTTGAAAATAAAAGAACATTGAAATAAGTGGCCAGCATTGTGTTGAAATTTCAAATATATTTAAGATAAAACAAGAAAAATTAATACGGATCACATGCAACAACATTGATTTCCAAGAATACTATTGAGATGTTTTGTGGGAGAAGGTTCTGTTGTGTCCAGCAATATGTCTCTGAATGACCTCCTTGCCTATAGCATCTATCAACTATTCTACATATTATCCAATCCTTTGCAAAACAGTTTATTGGACCAGAAAGGACACCTCAGCATGCCAGGGGTAGGAACAGTAAATACTCCTAAGGTAAAGAATAGGTAGCTGCTCCATTGTAATATTCTGGCCTACTTTGTTCCCTGCCCTAGCATATGGTACCTGGTTTCTTACACTAGGTAAACGTCTTTCTACTGAGGTTGTCATGAGTTATAGCCAAACATAGCTGGTAGCATATAAATTGTGTTATGCTTTCTGGAAAATATCTGGCCACATATACTGGGAATATGATAAATACATACAACTGTATTCTCGGTTCTACTCCTTTCTTAGGGTGTGAGGAGATTATCAGATTCGTGTACTTGAATGATAAGCTCAGTGTAATTTCTGATGCCCTAATAATCTTTAAAAAAAAAAAAAGGTAAATGTTCCAATTTTGGACTTCCTAATTAGAGCAGGTGTGTGTAGAGGAATTGTAATCCAGCAACATGGCTGCTCTGATCACATCCTAGGACCTTTAGGTCTGGGTGACCTGGTTGGAATGTAGATACACCATTAGTACACACCTTTAATCCCAAACAATGAAGGTAAAGTTAGTTGGTATTGACAGGCAGACAACGTGATAAATCAGAGAAAGATTTGATAGAATAGGTTATGCCCAACTCTCAAAAGAAGAGAGGAAAAAGCAAGGTGACTTAAGAGAGAGCAGGGAAGGAGAGAGAGAGGAGGCAGTTTTACTGGAAGAGTTTTGCAGAGACAGATTAAAGACAGAACAGTCTAGACACAGGTATAGACAGAATGAGCCAGAGAATGAGAAGGAGCCAGAAGATTAGAACAGATGTTAGAGTTACTTTGAGACCAAGCAAAACAATTCAGTCAGAAGCTGAGAGAAGCCAGTTTGAAACAATCAGCTTGGAAAGGAATTTGAGCCAGAAAAGCTGAGTTCACCAGCCTGGTTCACCAGCCTGACAGAGTTCAGAAAGAGTTAGAAAGGGTGAGCTTATTTAGCAGTAAGTCTCAGAGCTGAAAACATTCGAAGCCTACATTAGATTGTAAGGAGACTAGAAACTTCTAAGGCTCTGAGGTTAGCTTAGGTTAGCAGATGGAGATAGTAAGTTTCTGAAATGACAATTCCATCTGGAGAATAAAAGATGCTTTTACAGGTGTGCTTGTATTTTGTAACAGTATTGAAATGTTTGAGAAAATATATTTAATGAGATACTAACTAATATGCAGTGAAACTGAGGGACAAATCTGCATACAGAATTATATATACATTATGACTCCAACATCATAATTTACATATGTATGTATGTATGTATGTATGTATGTATGTATGTATGTATGTATGATGAGAACAAAAACTTGGTCCCCAGTTGGTAGCTGGGGAGGGGATGAGGGATTAGGAGGTGTGACATACTTGGTGAAGCAAATATGTCACTGGGGTTGAACTTTGAGGTTTCAGAAGACTTGAGCCATTACAAGTCACTTTCTCTGATTCTTATTTATGACCTAAAATACTGAAGTGAATGGATTTCTTTTGCATTGAAGGACTAAATATGACTATTATTTTGTGCTTTCTAGAGATTCCACATTTCCTGCATATAACTAGATGCATCAAATTATTTAAAAACTTATGAGTAAAACAATGTATTAATTTAATGTTATAAGCAATGAAAATGTGTTTTTTTTGTATGAATAACTTCAAGAAACTCAAAATGGTGTATCTTCCCCACATTATTCAGCAGGACAAACTAGTTCCTTCTTGACCTTTTCAACAACCTTAAAAAAAACCTATGCCTAACCATATTAAAGCAGCAAGCAGATCAAACTTGAAGTAAAAATACATTTTTAGTTATATCCATGCCATTTTAAAAGTAGATTGGCTCCTATTTTAAATAATGAAGATTAGATAATTACAATAAAATTACTTTATTTCAAGGTAACATACATTGCCAGATTTTCATCACATGACAGTTTAGAGATAATAGATACACATACATGAGGAGAACATATACTCTTTTAGAGAACAAGGCAGATTGTATGATATATTCACCACCAGCTGTATACAGTTCTCAGATTTGAAATAAAGCTGATGTACTTAGGAAGTCACAGTTACTACAAGCAGTGTGACTTTGATGTGTGACTTTGGTAACACTGTTACATAAACACACAACACTAGCTGGCATTGTTTAGCAACAGTACACGTTTGTGAGACACTGGCTGGGTTTTACAAAGGGGTCCTGAAACTTGGTGACTACGGCTTAGCAAATCTTTGCCCAATATGCACAATAACAGGGACAAATGGATTGCCATTACTAATGACTAAAGGGATAAAAAAGGCTCTTTGCCCATTGGGAACTGGGCAGAACAAATAATCTTCACCTCCCGTCTCCTGTTGCTTGTCTAAATATTTAACATGTTCTACATACCTTCATGTGGAAATCAAAAGGAACATAGCAAAAGGAGACTGGTGAGATTGCATTTCTGCCAGCAAACTGTTTTCCAAACCCACAAATCCATCCAGCTCCTGACTCTTCCTCTGGGCAGCCATCATCTATTGATGAAAGATGTGGCAAAGAGTGGCTTTGCTTGGTTGCTTGTCAAAGCTTTCTTTCAGAGCCTTAGATGACATCTACAGTCTGTTGAAAGCGCTTAGATCCTGAAGCAGGGGTGAATGTTCCTTTGGTCATGAGCCATTTAGTCTGACACTGCCCTGGCTTCTGTCAGGGCATTACCTTGCCAGTAGGCTTTGAATCTGTCATTCCACCTCAAAACAAGAAGCAGGCTTTTTGGCCGATGAGTTCATATTATCTGAAGGACGATAGGAAAGTGTGCTCATTTTTGTAGACAGGCTTGAGTGGGACTTGGCCTTTGGAGGAATGTATTTCAGAAGCTGGAGGAAATATTTCTTAAATTTTTTCCCCAGAAAGCCATAAAACAGAGGGTTCAGGCAGTTGTTAAAGTAAGCTATGCAGATGGTGATGGGCATGGCAGTGTCCACAATGTCAGCAATTTTACAGTCACGGATGACGCCCAGCTGAATGAGCACGTCCAGAAAAGTGAAGATTTGGTGGGGAATCCAGGAAAAGAAGAAGAAAAGCACAATCGCCATAATTATCCTAAAGATGTCATCATTTCTTGGCTTGTTCTTCTGGATTTCATAAGCCTTCTTTAGAGCCTTCCAAATAAGAGTATAGCTAGTGAGAATGATCAGAAAAGGGAACATGAAGCCCAGGATATTCTTGGTCAGGCCCAGCCCCACGGGGAGGGTTGAATTCTGAGATTCATAATGAAAAGCGCAAACTGTGCTATTGGTGTTCTCGATGAAGTATACATTTCGGTGTATAACAGCTGGCAGACTGGCCAGGCCAGCCAGCAGCCAGATGACGACACAGGTGACTTTGGCCACCAGCATCGTGCGGCGGAGGCGAGACTTCATTGGGTGGACGATGGCCAGGTAGCGGTCGATGCTGAGACAAGTGAGCAGGAACACACTGGCGTAGAGGTTGAAACTGATGCCAGCCGAAGCGATCTTACACAGGTGATTGCCGAAAGGCCAGCGGTATTCCATGGCGGTATAGACAGCCCACACTGGCAGTGTCAGCAAAAAGCATAAGTCAGCCAGGGCGAGATTCAGAAGAAAGACGCTGGCCACAGTCTTCAGCTTCATGTAGAAGTAAATGACGATCACCACCAAGCTGTTTCCAAATATTCCCACCACAAAGATGATGCTATAGAGGGTGGGAATCATGACGAAAATGTAGCTGTGTCTGCCAGCCTTCGGGCAGTCATCTTGGATTCTTTTAATGCCATCATCAGCAGAAGAGTTAAGGGCCATTTTGCGTTTTCTGAATTAGTCTCAGACTCTTACTCAAATGCACCTGGAGAAAACAGAAATTCAAAAGGACATGAAAGGTTAAAACTTAAATTCCAGTTGTAGATAAGCAATTTTCATTCTCAACCACAAATCTAATGGTTCAACTTTAGTCTTCGGAAAAATGTTAGAGCATAGTTTCTGAAGAAGCCCACGAGCTGATAAAGTCCATATAGCCCACTTAGTTTCTGGAGGGTATGCTTATGTAGCGTTAGGTGGCCAATTAGACATTAGTGAGCCTGACGATCATAGGACGATGGGACTCCTTGTTCATATCCCTAATCGTAATTAACCTTGTGGCTCTTAGTACAGATTGTCAACTCGATAGGATGTCAGCTCACTGTGACAGCGAGCTACGAGGGATTGTCTAGACTAAGCCGATTGAGGTGAGGAGATCCACCGGCACTGTCGTGGGCGCTGTTCCATGAACTGTTGTCCTGGGCTGCATGAAAGGAACAGCTTGCTGAATGCCACCGTCCACTGACTGAGGACGCAGGGTGAATGTCCTGCTCTCACTACCGCATCCCCTACTAGAGTAGCCTCGACTCTGAAACCGTAAGCCAAAATAAATCTTTCTTTCCTCAGGCTGCTTTTGTCAGGCCTTTTGCCAAAGAAACAAGTCCAGTGACTAACACAGATCCTACCTCCATATAATATGGTAATTTGAAAGAAGGAGACAGAATTACAAGTGCCTCCACTTGGAATTTGGAATACCTGTCAAAGAGTTATGCCAGTCAAAAAGGTGGAGATGGAAACCATCCATACAAACAAACAAACAAACAAAAACTACATGTCCCTGAAACTGTGAGAACCATAACATATATACTGAAGGCATGTTAAGAAATGGGGGAAAGAGCTGTCTCATTGAAATATGTACTTCCACACCCCAGAATCCCCTCTCAAATGCAGACACTTAGGACTCTCTTTTGTAAGCCTGTTGCTTTCTGAGTTCCAAGATGTAACATGTTCTCATCTCTTTCTATCTGTCTTTTCAGATGTTGTCCATATCCCGAGCCAGCTTGCCCTGACACTCTGGACATTCTGTTTCCCTGAATCCACCCCTTCCCTGCCCCTCGACTGTGAGCTGTTTCTAGACCTTCATTGAACCTGCCTGCTTCTTTGACTCTAACCATAAAATCCATGACTTTCTCTCTTCTTAGTTAATCCCTTCCTCCCAGAAGCTTCTCCAATCTCCGCCAAGCTTCTGTCTCCTCTGCCCAGTTGTTTCGTTTTTGTTTTTCTCAAACTATAATCAAACTCTCTTCATTTCCTTCTGAGCCCAATTTCAATTTCTCTTCTATATGAAAAAGACCAGGTATGTGTTCCCCAGTTACAGTGGGAAGAAATTGGGGGTGTGGTCCTAGGGAGTGTGTCTGCAGGTAAAAACGCTCAACTGGAAGCACAAACTAAGTTTCAAAAAAATACTACTACTAAGTTAAAAAAATGAAGTTAATTACTCAGAGTAACTTGGAAGTTCTTTCCAATAAATTAGTCTCAGAGGCATAATACGTCTGCATCCTATTCATTAAACAATTTATTTCACTCCACAGCCGCTACTTAGGAATAAAAATTATTAGAATCCTCCATTATTCACAGTCAAAATAGATGTCTTTTGGTTGTTATATCTGTAGACTTAAGATGGGATAGGAAGGAAGGTTCAGCATGAGGTGAGGTAGGAATAGAATAAGATCTGGGAGGCTTTGCACATAACTTAGTGTTCAAGAGTGCTGTGTTGGCAAAGAGGAAGAGTGAACATGCTCAGCCCCTCAGCCACCAGATCTGGCTGGCGCTCCTGGAGCAGACAGAAGCCCTCCAGAGACACGCTGCCAAGTGTGAAGGTGACCTGTGCTTCATTACAACAGCCGAATGCGCACCCCTAATGGAGACAAAGCCAGGAAGATATATATAACGCGTGAAGTTGTACGTGGAGCTACGTGGAACAGGGGGCATGAGAAAGAAAACACCAGCCATGCCCGTAAGCCAAAATGCCCCTGAAATCTGACATAAAAAGCCCCCATCCTTCACACACCATGACTGCTGACCTTCTAAACTCTTTCTCTGCTTCCGCTCACCTGTTTCTTTGGAAACGCAACCTCCCAGTAGCATCTCCCTGTCGAGAGACACACACTGGAGCCCATGCAGTGGTGGGATCCACGTGCCATTCTTGCCCAAGATCACTAGGCACAGTGCTCGTTCCTTGGCTCTTCACCATGTCTACACTGAAACTGGCTAGTCTTTAACATCCAACTGTCTGAATGTTGGTTTCCTCTAGATCATTCAGGGCTTAACTACGAGGTTAACCATTTGTGCAGCGAGGATGCCAGGTGCAGCCAGTAGGCAAGGTTCACCATCAAGACGCATCTTTACTGAGTGCTGGAGCTAGAAGCAATTCTTTGGGATTTTAGGAATAATCAGGTGCTTGGGAAGGCATTCTTTAAAGGTTCCTGCAAATTTGCCCTCTGGGGTTTTACATAATCACCCAACTATTCACTTACGTGGTTCTGAAAATCTGCAATTTCTTTCCTATGAGTCCATAGACAATTTTGGGGTGGGAGAGAGAAGGAGAATGAATGAATGAGTAGAAGACAGGAAAGGTTCTGATTGCACTGTGGCTTTTTCCCCTAGTTATTAAACAGCCACATCACAACTGTCTTGGCGTGGAGAGAACCTTTGCCCCAGTAACCATGGCAAAAACCTAAGCAGAGCAATATAGTGATGCAGTGATAGCTGAGACTATATCATAGCAATGGTGTTAGTACTCCACGACAGAAAAAGGGAAGGACCCCAGGATCCTAATCTGATACTCCAGCTGCTGCTTTCTCCTGCCTGTCACACTGCAAGTGGCTGTGGGAGGCCCTTGAGTCTATGAGAAGTGGCAGTTGATGAAAGTGGGACTTGATAGTGCAACTTTCATGGCGTCTTCCCTCACTCTTCCATGACGCAGCTGTTTCGGGGTCGCCAGTGCTCCTGTCAGAAACCCAGCACCCCTACTCCTGTAGGTAAACCCCCCAAAATCATTGTTTCACCATGTTGAACTTAACCAGTTATTGGTATCCAGTGAGCACAAGTAGATAGATATCCGTTCACAGTTCTCCAGGAAAAATCAAAGACAGATTTTTTTTTTCCTTTCCTCAGTAAGAAGTTACTGTCCCTGTCCGAGCGCTTAGTTTCCATCCTCACCATTGTTACAGTAGCCTTCTTTAGGGCTTTGTGGAGGCCAATTGGGGAAAGCTGTTTCTCTGGCCTGAGTGGAGGCCTACCATTCCATGCTACTCCAAAACAAAACAGCTAATGCAGTGGGCAAATCAGTTACCTGGTTCAGTCAAAAAAGCAGGACCGCTTAGGAATCCAGAGCCATCAGGGGCCTAAAGAGGCAGGAGGAACTTTTACCCTTTGATTGAGAGAATGTAAGCTTTCTTCCCAGAATCCCTGCCTCCTGGGACAGCCCAGGAGAGTCCTGAGTTTCTGTTGGGTCTGCCTATCTTTCTGAGTCCTGACTCTGAGAGGCATCATCTTGCCCTTTCCAGCTCTTCTGTCTTTCTTTTGGGTCCTAGCCAGAACACAAGTAAACTTTACCTAGTGCTCTGGGCTTCCGCACTCTTCCTCTGACGCCCCCTTCTCCCATTTTTACCATGAAGGTACTTGGCCTGTCACATGGCAGACCTCCATGTTCATTCAAATAGCATCACTCTCTCCTTCATCATCTCTTGTCACCACTCTGTTTAGCAGGAATGAATATATTCTAAAGAGTTACTTTATGCTTTTCTCTTTTGGCTACCAGAATATTGCAAAAAAAAAAAATGAAGTTAAAGAAATTATAATTTCCCCTAGGAATCTCCTTCTGTGAGAGGAGGTAGCTGAAGGCCTGAAGGCAGCTTGTGTCTGGGAGAGAAACTTGGAGCTGAGACAGTAGTGAGCACAGGGCCACACCTAGACATATACATATTTCTTGTTTTCTATTAAAAATTCGACCCTCAGGTCAAGACCCAGAAGATGGACTCCAGAGAGTCACTGGATCTCTTTGTCCTTGTGGCCAGATTGAATGATTTTCTCTTCTGCTTTGCTTTTAACTTGGCTTCTCTAATTGACTTATTGAAGATAAATGACAGAACTTGGCTCATTGGGCACAGGCCATGACCCCTAAGTTCAGTAATTCTGAACTTGTGATAAATGTGGGGTTTTGTTAAAGATGGCTAGCCCACCAAGGGCTAGTATTCTCTGGTAACCTCTCTGTCATCTTGAGAAACTTGTATATTTGTCTATTTGCCCACGTCCCAGATGCCAGGCATTCCTGAGTCCTGACTCTCACACACCCTTTCCCTTTGCTCTGCTTCCGAATTATCCAATTGTGTCAGTTTATTAGGTCAAGCTCCCACCAAGGGGTGACACACAGCCACCACCCTGTGACAGGACAGACACTAAGTACCCACCCCTCAGGCTCAGTCACTTGGCACACACACACACACACACACACACTTCTGTGGGCTTGCTCACTCGGTTTGGACTGTTAAGAACTTTTTCAAAAGTAAATTGCCTGGCCAAGGTGCTTTCACTTTGTTCCTGAGTCTCTTGGTCCAACAGTAGGCATACAGCAACAGTCTTTTCCAACACACTCCCACCTGTGAATCTATAACAAACCCTCTGACATTCATCCAGCGTCGTCTGGGAATTTCTAATTCTTCCAGTTCACAGAAAAAGAACCGCAAAACCACTCACTGGCTCCGGGCAGCTTTTGTTGGCCATCAAGTTTCCAGGACGCTAGCCTCCAAGAAAGATTCTTTTGTCCTACAAAGACGCCCCGGCATTCCCTTTCATTTTCTTGTCCCTTTCACCCAGCTTATACACGCTAAGCCCTTTCTTTCTTTCACACGTGGGGTCATTGGTATCCACACACAAGCATGAGTCTGCTCTGCAAGGCACATTCTCTGTGAAGCTTTCCCAACATCTTTCACTACGTAGCTCTGGAACTTTGGGTATAGGTCTTGACACTTTAATCATCTTGACATA